AAATGGGTACAGATAATCCGGAAAAGATCAATGCCAAGAGGTTTTTCCAAGGACCAGCTGGTAGAAAGAATTCTTAACTGTTAACCTAAGTTGTTATCCTTGTAAAATATAATTGTTTCTTTCTTTTTCTTTACAATCCCTTTAAAGCAAGCAAATTGTTTCAAACTGAGCTAAGATGTGATATAAATGTTGAATGAGCATGAATGATAGTTTTTAGGTTTCAACTGTCACATGTTTAAGATAATGTGACAGTTGAATGTGGAGATTATATAGCCTTTTAAGTTGCAGGAATAAATATTTTGTCATGTGTCAATTTTCTTTTAATCCTAGATACGGACAATTTTATCATAGGAATTGCAATTACTCATCTAGTCACATATGCACTGATATTAATAATGAATTGTGACAATATGCACTGATATTAATAATGAATTGTGACAATATGCACTGATATTAATAATGAATTGTGACAATATGCACTGATATTAATAATGAATTGTGACAATATGCACTGATATTAATAATGAATTGTGACAATATGCACTGATATTAATAATGAATTGTGACAATATGCACTGATATTAATAATGAAATTGGACATTATGCATTTATATTAATAATGAATTGTGACAATATGCACTGATATTAATAATGAAATTGGACATTATGCATTTATATTAATAATGAATTGTGACAATATGCACTGATATTAATAATGAAATTGGACATTATGCATTTATATTAATAATGAATTGTGACAATATGCACTGATATTAATAATGAAATTGGACATTATGCATTTATATTAATAATGAATTTCGACATTACTTTCAAACAATTTCCAGACATCTTTTCTTACCACCAGAAATTCTTGAAGACACTAGAATGGAAGTCAGGTGAGAGGACAGAATGACATAAAACTATTGTCTAGACTATAATCGGTTGATATTGATTGAACATGACAAATACTTTCTTTATTACTTTCATTTACTTTCCAATCAGCTCATTATTATTATCAGTTATTATATAGTTTATATTATATTATAATATAAATATAGATTGTTTATATTCTTTACATATTATTTACTTACAGTATCTTCACACAATTTATTATTAATTATTGTTAACTTTGCCAATAAACAGTAGCTCTTAAACTTTGTGAGTTTCACAACAAAATTTCTGCAATGTGACCATACTATGCCTTTATCTATGTTTCTTGGGATTTTTTAAAAATACTCTAATATGATAATTCCTTCATATGTGATATATTGTTGATACTTTTGAGTAACAAATAAAAAATGTTAACAGTCAACTATTTTGAGCTCTTCTCAAGAAAATATGGTAAAATGACTTTCGAAATTTTGTATTTTTGTGCCATTGTTATTCCACCCTCATTGCCCACTACATGGTGTTTCCATCTTTTTTAACCCAAGTCAGTTGAAAGAATCAAGGATTTGAAATATTTTATTAGGTTATTTCATTTTTGATATTATTGCATTGCTGTTAAAACTTTCAAACTCAGTCCAGTACCCAGACTTGATTGTTCTGTGGGGAAAGTTAAATATTTCTGGAGGGGCAGTGATGCAATTGCTCCCATATTGCCCCCCTGTAGCTACAGTCCTAATCGGGCAGTGGTAATGACAGTGATCAAGAGTATCCTAATAAGCTTACACATAGGTTCACAAGTTCATTGATTTGTATTATATCCTTACCTTATAAGTTTATTAACCCCTCACCTCTTATTATTTATATATCATTAGGTTCATCACACTAAAGGTGTTTCTTTGATACTGTTATTTGATCAGATTATCACCTTTATTGGAGATTACTTGACTGTATTATAAATTGAATGTCTATATCTCTTAGTTATAAACTAATAAACTGTTATGCTATATAAAGCTAATGAATATTATTTCTGTTTGATGATGAGATGAAACCTTATCAAATATTACCTGATTCAAAAAGTGGACTTTCTTGGTTTCTATGAGAGAGTCTGTTGCTGTATTAGTAGAACTATAACGTTGAAATATAGTGAAAATGACCAAAAATAATGCAAAATGAGAATTGATTCCACTATTTCTTCCCATATCCAATGTATTTTGTTATATTAAACATTGACTAAATGAAATAGATTATCATGCGAATAATCATCAGACAGACAAAACTTTTTTTTTCTGACAAGCTACTCATATTTGGACACACCCTCAACACAATTTGGAATAGCATAGTTATATTCAACATATTTCATTATTTGTCATATGAAAAATATTGATTTTTATTAGTAGAATAGTGGCAGGTTGGCCTACTAATGTCAAGTGACCGTATTTTAGTTTTCAATCAGATAAAAACCATTATTGATATTAAATATACTAATTCTATTCAAGTCAGTAGCGGGTATGTCCACCGTGAGCATCAATACATGCCAGAACACGCCTACGGACTGATGCCGTCAAACGTATGATGACGTTGGGAGTGATGCGTTGCCATTCCTCGAGGAGACATCGTTCCAAGTCCTGGACGTTGACTGGAGGCACACGGCGACGTCTGATTTGCCGATCGAGGTGGTCCCATAAGTGCTCGATGGGATTCATGTCCGGTGAACATGCGGGCCATGGCAAAACCTGTACGTTGGCGTTGGCAAGGAAGTTCTGTGTCAATCTTGCTGTGTGTGGCCTTGCATTGTCATGTTGGAAAAGGAGTCCACGAGGCTGTTGCTGAATAAAGGGCACCACAACAGGCTGTAGGATGTCATCAATATAACGCTGTGCATTCAGGTTTCCACGAATTACGACCAGCCTCGTTTTGACGTCACCACATATGCCACCCCAAACCATTAACCCTCCACCTCCAAACGGCCGGACCTGTTGGATACAGTTAGGCGCCAAACGTTCACCAAATCGTCGGTATACAAGCTGCCGTCCATCGTTTTTGAAGATGAGGAATCTGCTCCCATCAGAGAACATAACATGTGCCCAGTCGCGCCAATGTCGAACTCGCCTGGCCCAGATCAGTCTGTTGTTCCGGTGTCAAGGCGTCAGGAGCGGTCCGCGGTAGGGATGACGTGGCTGGATACCATACTGCCGTAGTCTCCTGTAGACGGTCTGTCGACTGATCCTGTGTCCCAGTGCTGTAGCCGCCGTGGACGTCGCTGTTACGGTGCGGTTCCTCAGGTGTAATACCCGAATGTAACGATCTTCACGGGGCGTGGTTAGTCGTGGTCTTCCACTCCTGGGCCTGTCTGACATCTGACCTGTCTGACGTAACCGCTGCATCAACCTGGTGATAGTGATGTGTGCGCAGCCCAACCTTCTGGCAACGTCGACGTGTGTCGCTCCTTGTTGGACCATTCCAACGGCTCTCTCTCTCTCTCGATGGCTGTCAAACGTTTTATACAGTTTTTATGCACGTGCAGAACATGCTAGAGAGGGAAATGTCACTTTCATGAAATTTACGTTTTTTCCCGGAAGTGATCACGTGTTCCTGGTATTTTTATCGACTATGCTGTGTTTGGGATGTGCAATACGAATTTACATGTTTTCATATCAGACAATTCACTTAGTAAAAAACAATTTTGAAAATAAGTTGGTATCGTTTCTTTTAGACACTAGTTTATTATAACAACATTGGTGAGGAATAAAGTCATCTTCACAATGTCAATTTATTGTCAACTTCATACTTATACCTTGACTGCAATTTAGTCACCTTTCTTGTATCATTGAAGTCGTAAATGAAGCGATTTGATTGCATTGTATGCTATGGAATATATCCAATCAAAGGCTTTGATAGAAAGCGTATGAACACAAAGCCATAATATTTACATTATTTCTGATTGGCTGTATGTTCTTGCGTAAAATCCCATCGAATCACTGCATTCTGTGATACAAGAAAAGTCACTATTGCAGTCAAGGTATAAGAACAAAGTTCATAATAGCTTGACATTGTGAAGATTGAATGATGTGAAAATATGAGCAATCAAAGCTCTAGGCTTTTAACATTAAGAAACTAAGCTGTAGCAGATTTTGCAGAATGAGAAACTTCATTGGGCAATACCAGTCCTAATAACACATTTTTTTGATTCTATGTGCCATTCAAGTTCCACAACTCTCAGTTCATAGCTTGAAAACTTGTCTTAAATCTGAAAAACAAATATGGTTTGAAAATTCAATGACTGACAGTTGACCTGAAAAAATATTAATTGAAACCTACTGACCAGATGAGATAATTTAGTAATTTAGACCTAAGTAATCTAGTCTTGTCACTAAAGACTATAGAGTTCAAAGAAAACACATTCTTCACATCTTAGAGTGTAGCTTTGTTTGTAAATTAAGGCTTTGTTAGATTTTAACTCACACCTTGGTTTGACAATCGGCCTTCAAAGTCCTTGTCTTATTGGGTTACTGTGGTGATTTCTTTTTGAAGTTTAGTACAGTCTATATCATTTTTAGTACACTGCAAAACTGACCTCCCTGCCTCCCTTCTGTAAGAATTAAAGGGATTGTAAAAAGGTTTTATTAAACTTTTTTTTGTATCAGGGACACTGATAGCATCAATTAGTACCAAGTTACCAACGCAATTTTCAGTCAGCCACCTGTGGTTCCTGCAATTCCACTAAAACTATGTGTTTGATGACGTCACTAATCACAAAGAGCTTTATGTGATGAATTATTTTTTTGCAATTAGTGGCATCATCAAACACATATGTTTTAATAGAATTGCAGACGCAGTGTTAAAATGTCTGACTGAAATTTGATGCTATCAATGTCTCCAGTACATACAAGATTTAGAAATAGGATTTAAAACATAAGAATTTAAGGTCTTTTTTGAAATAATCAAATTGGGTACTGAATAGCTCCTGTCATATTCATATTAGTGAAAGAAAAGATGCCATGATAGAACATTAATTAGGTGCCTGTTTTTTTCTGTATTTTATCATTTTGGTTTGAGTTTCAGATACAGTTTAATATGGTTACATGTTAATTGTTAATATAATGTATTTTTAGAGATCTACACAAACTGTTCAATTTACTTTCATGCAGCATTGGAGATTTTCACAGGTTTGTGTGCAGATTTTCACTGCACCGTGATATCATGCATTTTATTGTGCATCTTGATTTGTTTAACCCTAAACCCTTAAACCTTGCTTTGTTATTATTCTTATTATAGTAGCCATTGGTATATTTGTTTTTTGTTGCTGATTTTCATAATTTAGACCCCATTTAAGCCCTATGTGTGATTTAGTAAAATTCAGATGTTTCATTTTGTGTGTTTGATTTGATTTAAGTACACTTACCATCCATTGATAAGGAGTGGAGTTACAGACATTGCAGGTGACAGAACATCACAACAAAATGAAGCATCTAGATATTTATTTTGTTAAAACTCTAGAATATTAGTAGTTCAGTTAACCCTGGTTAAAACTTGATATTCTGTTTTTTTTTTTACCAATATTCATTTTGTTTTGCTTTCAACCTTATAGCTTAATTATTTAAAACTTCCATGCATGGAATTAGTTTGAATAGGTATTTAAGTTTGATGTTAGGTTTGAGTATGGAGTGTAGTACACATCAGATGTGTCATTTTATGTATTAATCCATGAAACATGATATATTCAGATGATGTGTCATTTTATATGTATTAATCAATGAAACATAATATATGCAGATGATGTGTCATTTTATGTATTAATCCATGAAACTTAATATATACAGATGATGTGTCATTTTATGTATTAATCCATGAAACTTAATATATACAGATGATGTGTCATTTTATGTATTAATCCATGAAACATAATATATGCAGATGCAATACTGCATGTACTGAAAATTTTATTCATGGAGAAGTCTTGAAGTTATTAGTCCTTGAAGAGTTATCTCCCTGTAATGCTTAATGATTATGTTGGCCATGAAATTTATGTACATCCTTGGTCCTCTTTCACAAAACCTTATCTAAGATATAATGCAGGTTTAAGATGTGGAGGTTTTTTTGTGGCTAATAATGCTAGCTTTTAAATCAATTGTAGTAATTTGCAGTTGACATGTCGCTCGAATGAGACAATAAACCGAGGTCCTCTGTGCTACAGCCTGCACTTTAAAGATCCCTTGACAGTTGGAAATCTGTCCTGACAAAATTTTCCTCATTACAGACTGCATGGCATTGCCCATCTTCATTAGCCCACATGGTTCAGAAGAGTAGAACGTAAAACTCCATTCATTTGATTTCATTTCATTTTCCGGATCTTAACAGAAACATTCTTTTGATTTTATAAGAAGTAATTGCACTCTTTAATATCAGTGATCAAAATATTAAAATTCCATGATTTCTAACAATGACCCTACATAAACTTGCCTTTATAATCGTAGCATCACATTGAAAATATGTTCATTTTAAAATTAATTGACTTCAAGCAGAATAATTATATATGATCAGAAATACTAATTATTTCTATTGTTAATATTTATAACTAATTAGTTAGTTAGTTATTATAATATTATAATTATATTTTTGTTATAATTTTAGACCGGAAGAAGAATAGTTGATATTTTTGAAGATCTCAAAGATGGACATAACTTGATCTCATTATTAGAAGTCCTTGCTCATGAAGTTTTGGTAAGTTTTCAAATATCTATTTTTATATACAACTGGAATTTAAACAAAGTACAAGTATTTTACAAACAAGTCTGTCTGATTAGAAATTGTCGCTTTATTTAGCAAGACGGTTTCATTTATTTATTGTTTCAAATTTTAAAGAAAATAAGACAAATCATGAATAATCAGTACACAGTGATATATTTCTTTTTCAGCCAAGAGAGCGAGGACACATGCGATTTCATAAAATCCAAAATGTACAGATAGCTTTAGATTTTCTTAAATTCAAAGGTGTAAGTAGATTATTTAATTCAGCAGAATATGTTAGTTATTAGTGGGTGAGAGCCGATACCGGTTGACTCTCAGAAGCACTGGCACAGGGATCAGAATTTTTCTTAACTTGAGAAAGATTAGAACCCATGACAGCTAATCACCTCGCAGACGACAATCCAACTAGCTCCTGACTGACTTGAGATATTCCACTGCCACTGTGTATACATATTAAGGGGAGAGAACTAGCAATGGTTTTATTGAAGACTTATTCCAGAAATGTCATGAAAAAAAAGTCTATTACTTCAAAGAAATAAGAAATTTCATGTGTGTTTTTGATAGGAAATTGTGATTGAGAAATTCTTGTATATGGTTGTAAGTTCCATCAAAAGTTTTTGATTATCAATTAATCAGTAGAGGTGCCCCTTAGAAAAATGGGTGCACCCACTTCATTTCTAACAAATTTAAAAATACGTTTTTGCTCCGAAATGTGTACATCATCAATTCTATTTTTCAAAAATTTTCTTGTGGAGGACTCTTTTAGACTCTCAGTTGGAAGCTGCTGCCTATGTGCTTCCACAGAGCTGCTACATTTGGAATGTTTGTCCCTCATTTATTCAGTCTGGTCAGTTGTACCTTCAGTCTTTGGAGGATGGAGCTGCAATTGATGCCTCTATTATATGTTTGATATTATAGATACGGCTAGTCAATATCAGATCAGATGAAATAGTTGATGGTAATCCCAAATTAACTTTAGGTTTAATATGGACCATTATTCTACATTTCCAGGTGAGTACAATGTTTTATATACATACCATTAACACATATAATTCCACATTATACATAAACCAACTGAAGTATCTTATTACATTGAAAAAAGCTTATATAATACACAATACAAGAGAAAAAGCTATTACCAAATCCCTTTTCTAAGTGTAATGAAATCTGTTAAAATTAAACAAAAATTGTTATACACATATTTAAATTTTAATATCTATATCTTTGCAAAAAATTTTAACTTGCACGCAATATATATGATGTAATTCTATGACAAAGTGACAAAATAGCAACAGATAATATTGAAAAAAAATTGCACTTTGTACATACTTTCTATAATTTTATTGACATACAATTTTGACATCAAAGGCGAAGGAAAACAAATTTATTCAACATGATCATTCCATTATATTAATATTGTACCCACAGTTTCTTCAACATTCTTAACTATGCTATAAATTTTATACACAATGAAGATTTTGCTTGAATTTCTGTTTAACCAAAAAATAGAAATTCATAAATCTAAATAAATCTCTCAACGTTTAAAATTGAGTCATCTTCCATGAAAACCCATATAATATAGATATAGATATGAAAGAATTAACAAATTACAATATATATATTTACCAGCAACCATCTTGTTTTGTTTGATGATAAGGTAAATTCTGTGTATTTAGTTGAAGATTATTAGCTACTGTCAATAATTTGTTAATGGTAGTGTTATCAGCTGTTGGTGTTCTTGATAGTAAGTGAACACAATAATTTGTCATAAATAGAAACGATGAACAATCATATTCTATAGCATAGTTATCATCAAGATAGATTACTGTATATGATGCCTGAAACAAGATTAGAGTTATTTGCCCTTGAACTGAGATCTTATTGGTGCTTAGAATCTCATTCTCACTACGTCAATCTATTATGTACTTTATCTTATATCTTGATTGCAATAGCCACTATTGGTGTATCACAGAAGTTTGTGAATGCAGCGTTTTGATTGGATTAGCAATTACAGTTAATCGACAGTAAGTCGGTAAACAATAAGCAGAATTTACAATCTTTCTGTCAATGGCTCTGATTGGCTGTATTTGCTGGTGTACAATCCAATCAAATCAATACATTCTATGATACAAGAAAATTAGTTATTGCAGTCAAGGTATATGATGAATTTTGTAATAGCTTGACATTATGATGATTTTGAAGGCAATATTACCTCTTCATGAATTTTCATCATGTTCATCATGTACGATCAAATCAAATCAATGCATTCCATGATAAAAGAAATTAGTTATTGCAGTCAAGGTATAAGATGAAGTTTGTAATAGCTTGGAGAATTTTTAAACCTAAGCAATATTCCCTCTTCATGAATTTTCATTATGTTCATCATGTAGATGTAGTTCAAAGAAAGTAGTTTCTATATATAGAAACATTTGAGAAAAAAGTTCCTTCATTTCTCGATGGTCAGTACATGTGTTCGTGTAAATAGAAAATACTAAAAAGAAATTGCCCAAGGCTGGACATACCTTTGGAGCAAGTGGAAAGAAACCTTCCTGCCAGTGACCTGCTGGCTTTTCACTAGTAAGAGTACCTGTAAATAGTAATCATATTATCAATAACCTCACAGTGTCATCTTTCCTGTCTGGTTTCAGCTACTAATGGTGCGAACACACGAATAGTCTTGCTCGGGTTTTTTTTCTTTTAACTAGAGTCTTGTCGAGAGTTTCACCGACCAGAACGGGAAACACGAGACAAAAATCTCCAGTTGGTCATTTTAAACCAAACTATTGTAGACAATCCAGTCGAGAACGTGATAATATTGTTTTGAAAGCAGGGGCACAAGATTTTACTTAGAACGTTCATGTACCTGCACCTTCAAAAAATTATGGCGCAGCACAACAAAATTTTACATTTAATCCTTATATATACATTAGGTAGCATCAGGAATCTTTCAATGTATTTTAACTAATTGTTCACTAAAGAATTTTTAGCTCAAATTTTGCACAAAGGTTCATTGTAACAAATATGTAAATATAGTATTATAAAATAAATTGAATGGTTATATCAATACTGATATGAAAAGTATAACTCTTAGGATGACCAAAAAATAAAATTTTTTAAACATGGTTAAAATGAGTCTTTGTTCATCAGTAGACTCACCTGGTCCTAATGCTTCTAAGCATGTTTTAATAATTATTTAGTTTAATGGAGATATCATCTTATATAGAGATTCTATTCTTTAGTCATGGTACCTGGTAAGTCCAACTGATGAATATATATATTTGATGTCTATTCTAAGAGGTAGTATCATTTTAAAGTTACCTGTAGCATTTAGAAAGTTTCCAGATGGTGTAACCTTTCTACAACTATTGAATGCTGTAGAATTACCATTAGTTGCTCCTTGAACAGGCTGAACATCTATAGTGGTACAAACACAGTCTTTCTCAAAATAGGCACCACCAGCAGTCTGTATTTTACCTATCTCATACCATAATCCATAATATCTTTCATTAGTAAAATTACTAGACACTGGAGGTTTCATACACTCATTGGCAGCCTTGAGGAAAAATCCTTGAGAGGTAGTGATAATTAAAACCTAGAAACAATGGAAAGTTTACTCAATTAACAAAAACTCAAGTCAAGTAAAAAAAATTATAGTAAAAGAACTAGAAAAACAGCTTTTGTAGCAGCTATAACCTACAGACTCTACATCTACCTTTCATAGAGTTACTGAACACCAAAGAAATTGCAAAAATGTATCAACTGATATGCAAAAATAACATATCATTTAGGTAAAAAAAAAAAAAGAAAGAAACTCTGCTTATATAGGGATGGAAATGTGTCTTGTAGATGACATTAAATAATTGGTCTGATGTAGATTACAGTGAACTTCCCAATAGCACAGTATGGAAGGTTTCCAAAGTGCCAAGTTTCAAGAGATCAAAAAGTCAATTTTGGAAAATGATTAATTCCGAGATTCAATGCAGGGAATTTTTTGGGAAACAAAATCTTTACCTGAGTAAGGAATAACAAAAACATGGTCAGAATGTAACAGATATTTGATGAGATATGAAGTGGATTTAATGTTTCTATGTTTTATAATGGTAATCTATAACTTATATAATCATTTTCTATCTGTGGGAATGTCCAGAATTTTCATAGAATTCAGATAAGAAAACACTCTTTGACCAAAACTGCTAGTATCATGGTATGTCAAAAATACTGATTATCCATCCAAGTTTTTTTGATCCTTGAGTAAATGCCAGTACTACTGTGGTACTAGACATTGAGTATATAGAGGTTTGCAGTCAACATTTATCAAAATGATATGTGAGATATTGACTAGCTGCGATTACATAATTGTCTGAAAGCACCACTCAAGCACAAACGGAAATTCAAACTCAAGCTGAAAACATGCTTATTATACATGTGTCCTTAAGGGAAACAGCATGATATTGGGTCAGGAAACAAAGGAGAAGAAAGTCTTCCATAGTTATGATGTAATAAAGGGCATACCACATTTTGGCACCTTGAAAACTATCCGTAACCTTCTGCAAATGCAAAAAAAATGCTCACTGAGCCATTTCTTGTGCTTACTGAAGTGTTGAGTTGAGTTTGCAGACACATGTAATCAGACTTTTGGATTTGTTAAGCATATGTATAGGAGTTGCTATGGTCTGTTTTTTATACTGCCTGTGTTCGTGTACACATGTAATCACAGTTTTAAGGTATTCATCTCTCCTCATGATACCTTTATCTGAAGATGTAAATGGATAAACAGCTGTTTGTTGTCAGTACCCTGTTTACTCTTTTTATATCCATAAATTAAACCATATTTTATCTGATTACATGACTCATAGAATTTATAACATAACAATAACACCTACAGTAAAAGTGTTAACATAGATTTCAGGGTGTTAGTTTCTGAAACACTAACTACCAGTCTCTGATATTGTGTTGAGATTCTCTTATCATATCAATCAACACTTCCCTTTTAAATTACTTTGAAAAAATTAGGTGTGGAATTTTCATATCTTAAAGTAGAATGTCTTGTTTACATCTTATCATAGGAAACTTCAAGATAACTTCAATGAGTGTTTTTTAATTTTTGGTCTATATATTTCCATTTGCTGACTTTTTTGCAAATCCAATGACCTGTGAAGGAAACTGACATGTGCCTATCCTAATCACAATTCATGGGTTAAGATCTAAAAGCAGACAAAATCAATGTGATTGACATGAATTCTACAGCCATTCTGGATCATTAATAATGATAATATGAGACAAATCCAGTTGTCAGCAGAAACAATATGCTATTTCTGTTCAGCACATTGCAGCTTGATTTTTGATGACTGAATGACTTAGTTTTAGTGGAATTGCAGGAACCACAGGCGTCTGATTGAAAATTGGAATGGTGGAAATTGTTGCTATCAGTGTACTAGATAAACATAGATTTGTTTGAAAACCTCTTTAAAACTGTCAAGTGTTGCTTTTGTTTAAAATAAATTGCATCTTGGTCGTACTGGGCTTTTGGCAAGTTCTGGAGTCTCACGAACCTTGAATAGTTTAAAGATCATTTGTAAATGTTGAATGTCATTCAAAGAATTGCAGGACGCGTGTTGCTACTAAAATTTCATTGAAATATTTATGATATTTGTTTTATTTACAATAAAAAGGTTAATATGAGTACAATCTGGACGTAAACATTCATAATCTATTAAATGTTAAACCTACACCTGGTACAGATATTTCATCTCTAAAGTTTTACATACAAGACAAAAGAAATTGAAAAACAAGATTTAGAATGGGGGAAGGAGGACAGCTGGTAAGAATCAGCTCAATATTACAAAATAAATACAAGATATGTTAGAACATAACACATCTCTTCTGATTCTAATACAACTACAAATCTTATCTTCTTTGATATCTTGTTGTAAGGGGGGCTGACATGGAAAAAGCGTCTATTTTTTTGGATGGGACAATAATGCGAGCCCTGTGTGCTACAGGCCTTTCACTTTAAAGATCCCTCGACAGTTAGAAGAGCAGGCTAATGCCATTGTCGTGCAAAATTAAACTCATTTCACCCTGCATGGCGTTGCCCGTCTTCATTAGCTCATATGGTGCAGAAAAGTAAGATGAAAAACTCCATTCATTTCATTTCATTTCATTTTGATATCTTGGAAATTTTACTTCATCATGGGTTCTCAATGCTACCAGGAAAAGTCTCATTTCAGGCATCACCAAGTTATTACTACTATTTGTTGGCACCACAAACTGATTGTGAGAAGTTAAGAAACCATTCTGATCCGAACTCGTAGTGCATTAAAATAAGTTTTAAAAACTTTTGTTATGATGTTTACTATGAAAATTGTTCATCATGTATTCAAAAAAATGCTCACCTGATGCCTTTGTCCTGGCAAAATTTCCCATCATTGTCTGTAATTGTTAGCCCAATTGGGAACAGAAAGTCTAACTCAAATGAAGTTTCTTTTAATTCTTCAAATTTTGATCAGTATGTAGATAATCTGAGAATCAGTTTAGAAGAATTATTAGAGGATATTAAACATCCTTCTAACATCTGGTAATCATTATATTGTGAACTTCTCCAACTTTCATCAAAATATTCCATCAATTCTTTTGTCTTTATTTCCTAAGGTGTGGTTTATTGTTTGAGTTTGGATGAAGGTTCACTTCTGTTGAGAAGATTCAGGTCCAATTTATACTTTGATTGAAAAGAAGCCAGCCTTGCTACTTATGAAAGATATTACTAATAGCAATAAGTGTTTCAAGTCCATAATAGATAGGACCCATGGTTTATCAACTGATTAAAATGATGTGCATTACACACACTGAGTTTGTCAGCTGTAATTTGAAATAAATAAACTAGTATAGTAGATCAATAGAAAAGATGTATTAGATATAATTGATACCAGTCTACAGGAAGAGAATATATAAACACTTTCTATATCTTTTACTTCCAATATATTAACTTCTTAGATAAAACTGGCTGTTTTGTAGTTTTAAGAATTAAGTCATTAAATACTGATCATGGCATCAGCCAATTTAACTTAAGAAAATTTAAAATTACGTAGTAGGATACAGTCCAACTTCACTGTGTCAAGATATTATGCAGTGTCTAATAACTTTACTCCAATAGTCACCTGTCTTGGATCACGGAATGAAGCAATTTGATTGGATTGTACACAAAAGAATACAGCCAATCAGAGATATTGATAATGTAAACATTATGGCTAATGGTTTACAGACTCTAGGTAGAGGGCTCTAGTTGGCTGTATTTGGTAGCTAACAATCTCATCAAAGTCACCTGTCTTGGATCACGGAATGGAGCAATTTGATTGGATTGTACACAAAAGAATACAGCCAATCAGAGATATTGATAATGTAAACATTATGGCTAATGGTTTACAGACTCTAGGTAGAGGGCTCTATTTGGCTGTATTTGGTAGCACACAATCTCATCAAAGTCACCTGTCTTGGATCACGGAATGGGGCAATTTGATTGGATTGTACACAAAAGAATACAGCACACAATCTCATCAAAGTGCTGCATTTACAAACTTCCATGATACAAGAAAGTTGACTATTGGAGTCAAGGTTTTAGATGTAATTGGTAATAGCTTAAGATTGTGGAGATGGATGCAGTCCAGTAAAACAAATCCAGTGATCTAAATATATACTATACCAGATGATTACGATCATGTTAAGCTATCTAAAACTTTCAGTTCTTGTATTGTTTTACTGCACAGAGAAAAACAGAAAGGTAGAAAAGAAAAATGACTATGGGAGATTATTTTAAGCTTACTGTTTATAAGATTACCTGTAGTAGAACAGAGAAAATGACATAATAAATTAACTATGAGCTGCCATGATATTTTAAGGGTATAAATTGCCCTAATAATCGTTACTACATCTGAATATTTAGAGAAATTTGTATTTAAGAGAAGAAGATCTGAAGATTTTTAAATGGTTTTGACTAGTCAAACTTTCTATCTCTGAAATTATCAGTAGTTCTGAGGCAGTTATTCATGATATCTAGATAACAGCAGACGCCAATTTTTGCCAAAACACAGTTCGTACCTAAATGATAACAAAACCTTCATTGAGTCTATAAACATTACAAGTTCCTCCTCTTACTAGTGATTACTGTTGGTGTATTTTGGTAGTTTTGGTACATGCAGTTGGTTTCTGATTGATTCAGGATTCAAATGGACAGAATTATTTCTGATTTACAAGAATATTTTGTTTAAGAAGGCAATTGGATATGGATTCAACAAAATATGTGCTTTCTCAAAGATTGTCTGTTTACCCTAGAATGCCAATTTTCAACATTAGTTTTGTTGGCTTAATGTGAATTTGACTCTAAAGACTTTCAGAATACATTCACAAAATTTTTCAAGAGAGACATTTTGGCAGAAACGTAGAATTGTCTAATTGTTTCAAAGGATATTTCTAAGTAAAAGTGATTGTTTTGTGAACTTTTGGCAGTTTCACTCAGGATAATTTGGAAAAACTTTGATAAATTTGTTTTTGTCAGCACAATGTGGTAATGTTGTAATTCATTGAAATTTCAGTTGAAATCACGTTTTTGACTAAATTTTGACCCAACATTTTGATTGTTTTATGACGAAAGTTAGAACTGAGCTGATAAAAAGGATTGAAATTTGATAATACCAGATACATAGGTGGACTACAGCCATCCCATGTTTCAATAGAATGTTTATACCTTCAATGTTGGAGATTGATCAAAAACACTAGCAGTAATAAATGGCACCTGGTTGCCGGGGTAACCTTGTAAAAGGATTTTGATTTCTTATTTACATGCAGTGTATATGAGAAAGTCTAGTGGTTTTATAGGAATATTAACTGTGTTGAAAGTGTTATTTGCTATAAATCATGGAAAGTAGGAGAACCCATCATGGTCTTGACAGCTTGGGTGTTCTGAAAGTGTTAAAATCTAAACCTGTGAAATTATGTCAAACCACTAAACTGGTAAGCTATTTGATATTTTACCTTGTAGTTACAG